AACAAAGAAGAAAAATAATTTTAAAAGTAAAATTAATTAATTACAAAATGATGAACATTTTAAATTCTGTAATGAAAATTATAAATTCTTGTACTCTCTGTCTGTTTTCATATTAGGAAATTTTGATTATTATGATGATAATGATGAAATTATGATTATGATTATTATTATAACTATATTTGTTTGCTATTTTTTTCTTTTCTTTAATTAGCAAGCAGATATTTACTTGTATTACTATTGTCTTTTTTCTTTTAAAGTTTTATTATGTGATGATTTTTCCGATAAATTTTGTTTTTTTATTTATTTATTTTTTTCTAAACTTACTAATTATGTATAGGATGAAAAAAAATAGAAAGAAAGAAGAAAAGAAAAAGCTAAATGTATATTCATGAAATTTGAAAAAAATCATTTTGAAGTATTCCTTTTATTCTCAAATTCCAAGCACTTTTATAGGATTTTTTTCTTTTTTTTTTATCAATCAAATTTTCTTCATTTTTGTGAAACAATTTTTAAATTATTATTACAATTTATGATCTTGCCTAGTAAAGTGCTACTGTTGATATTTTCAGTTGTGGTTATCTTATGCATTCATTCATTCATTCATTTATTTACCTATTCATTGATTTCATTCATTCATTCATTCAATCATTCATTCATCCATTCAATCATTCATCCATTCATTCATTCATTCATTCATTCATTAATTCATTTGTCCAATTGTCTTCGTCAATTTTTTCCACTTTTTACGATTTTTTAAAATAAAATCCTAAAAACTGCTACCTTTTTTGTTGTTAACCTACCAATTGTGTGTATCCTTTTTAGCACTTCGTTCATTCCTCAATGTGCTTTATTCTTTCATTTTATTTTGCATAAAATTTCTTTTCCATCACTTGAAATGATTGAATTTTTAAGTGTAATATGTTTCATGTTTCTAATATAATTTTAGGTTCATTGTTGAAATTTCAGTTCAATTCAAATTTGTCTTTCTGCTGCTACTGTTTATTTAAAAAAAAGAAAAACTAAACAAAAAGCAAAGCATTTTATTCCGTTTAGAAGCTAAGGAGAGGAAAAGAAAAAAGATACAAAAGTAAAATAGCAGCACTGAAAATTCTTCCTTTTTTTTTCCTGATGTTTTGATCTACCTCGATATCTTTTTTTTTTTCATTAAAATTCAAATTTACATAATCTAAATGAATGTTTTGATTTTTTTTTTACATACTATTTTGACAAAATGAAGATTTTTGTTAAAAAAAAAAAGAAAAAATGGAATGGAATAATTAAAAAATATTATATCTTAATTACCAAATTTGATTTCAAATTTTTGATATTTCTGGTAATTAAATGTTTGTGATACCAACTATCGTTTTATTTTCAACTTTTTTCCTTCTTTTTGATATTTCTTTTTCATTCATTCACTTTTTTTCCATGGCATAAAATAAAAGAAATGATTTTTCATTGCGACAGTTTTCCTTCTTTTTTTTTTTTTCAAAAGTGTCATCTGCTAGAATCAAGAATGGATGATATAGTGATTATATATATATTGATTGATGGGTGTCAGTTATTTATCACTATCACTATGATATCTTATCACTTCAATGTGTTTTCTTCTTGTATTTGTATACATGTATGTGTGTATGTGTATGTGTATGTGTGCATGTGTGAGTATTATATTTATGTGTGTACCTTTTATACATTGATATGCTTTATCAAATCACTTCAAAAAAAAGGGAGAGAAAAGGAAATGAAAGAAATCTTTTAATCTATGCAAATGTCTTCTTTTATATTTCTTGTAAATAAATTTGAAATTTCTTGATAGAATTTCAAAAATTTACCACAGTTTTATTTTATTTTTCGTCTTACTTTTCTACAAATCAAAATTTTTCTTTTTTTTTTTTTTCAAATTTTTGTTATCAATGTTTGTTATTTGATCTTTTCTCCCTTATCATTCTACAAGAAATTTCCAGCATTTGTTTACAAGAATATATCACAGTGCAACAAATTGCCCATTCATTACATTTATATTTTAAGCAAATTAAAATTTAATCAGTTGAATCAAATCAATCCATTGATTAGTAGTTATTTATTTGAATTTTTCATTTTAAATTGAAATTTTATTCTTCAAAATCTTTTGCATCTTTTTGATTCAAAATTTCATATTTTAATTTTATCTAATTATTCTTATTATGTAATTTTTCCTTTTTTTGTCATCACTTATGAATTTACTCTGTATTTTATATTTCAGTTTTACTTTCTCTTCTCTTCTCTTCTCTTTTTTTATTTTTGCCTCTTATCCCATCTTTCATTTCCTTTATTTCTTTACTTTTTGTTACTTTTCTTTTTTTTTCATTTACATTTTGCTGATTTATTATTATTATTATTATTCACTGTGACATAATGCAAATGTTTATTTTATTTTTGAATGAAATGAATCAATGCTAATATATTCATGTATTCAGGCAAAATTATTACACATAAACTAATTGCGGTTGAAGTTTTGTTGAGTGTAAGCTAAAAGATATTGCTTACAAATTTCAATTTTTTTATCATTTCATATCGTTGTTTCTTTCTTTTTTCGTTGCTATTTCTTTTCTCTCAACAATATGATAATTAATTCTGTTCTTTTTTTTTTTTTTCACTTAATATTTAATTTTTTAGAAGGAAAAAAAAGAGAGAAAGAAAGAAATTAGAAATGGGATAATCGTAAATTTTTATATATCAAAGAAAAAATAAAAACAAAAGAAAAAGGAAAAAAGAAGTGTGCAATATTTGCAAAAGAGATCAGTAAATGAACAAATATGTTATGATTTGATAAGGTATTATCACTTATCAGCAAACAGGAATAATCAATGGACAGATGAGAAAAAGAGAGATGGGAAAGGACGAATGCAAATTAAAATGGCTTATGCTAATTCTGATCTTTCATTCATTCGGTATTTTCATTTCTACAAATGCATTGGTAGATGGGCAAGTTGAAAGAAAAAAAAGGAAAAAAAAAGGAACTTTGTCATTTTAAGAATGACAAAGTTCCTTTTATCTTTTTCTCAACAATAATAATTTTAAAATTATGTTTTGAACTGTTAATTAATAATGAATAACATTTATTTTGTTTTTAATTTTATTTTTCATTCAATTATTTTTTAAAAGAAAAAGAAAGGAAAATGTTAAGAAAAAAATTTAAACGCTTTTCTCTCTTTGTTCTGTTTAATTAATTAAGCTAACTTTTAAATTTAAGTTTTTTGAGTTTATGCATTCAATTAATTAATGACAATCATCGATAACTGTTTAAAAAAAAAGAAAAAAACGAAAGACAAGAAAAAGAATTGTAATTTTTTTTTCATTTTAATTATCAAACAGAAATTAAAATTAAAAGTAAAGCAAAAGCAAAAGCAAAAAGTTAATGATAAATGTTTAACAGTGAATTTATATATATATATGTGATTCAAATTACTTTCAAATATTTTTACGGTAATTTAAAAAATGATTTGTTAAATTAATTTGTTGGAGATTAAATGAATGATTGATGATGATGATCGATTGATAAATTAAAAGAGTAGTCATCGATTACAAATTTAATTTTGTCAAATAAGACTTAACATAAGGATGGCAGTGGCAGCAGATCTTCAGATATTATTGTCAATCTAAATAAAATGAAAAAAATTACTAAATGATTCTTTTATTTTTTTACTAATTTTTTCCTTCTTTGCTTTTATTAATTTAATTTAATTTTAATTTAAACTAAAGGAAAATTTGTAAGAAATAAATAGTAAAAAAGAAAAAGCAAAAAGCAAAACAATTTTTCATTTCTATTAGAAGAAACAAAAAAAAGAATGAAAAAATAAAAGAAATGAAAAAGAAAGAAAGAAAAAGCTTATCATTTTCAGAAACTTTTCATAATTTATAAACGATAAAAAAGAAAATAAAAGCCAAAAAAAATGAAAAAAAAAAAAAAAAAAATTTTGGAGGCAAACGAAGACGAACGAATTATTATTGCATTCAAAAAATACAATATTATTGTAATGTCTGGATGATTTGAATTCCTATTTCAACAACATTTATTATATTATCTTTTCATAAAAGAAGAAAAAAAAGCACAAACAAACAAAAGAAAGAAAAGTAAAATTTATTTTGAATTAATAATACTAAATAAATAAAAAGTTCGAATTTAAATTTAATATTAACAAAATTAATTTAATTTTTATTTGTAAAAAAAAAGAAATAAATTTGATAATGGTTGTTTTTTTTTTCTTTTTTTCGTTCAACTTTTGCTTTCAAATGAAAAACGAAAGCAAAAAAATTTTTACTTTCGTTTTTCTACTATTTAACCTTTGAACCATAATGAAAAAAAAAAAGAAAAAAAAGAATCACTAATACTTTTTCTACGTTTATTACGTGTACAGGTACATTACTTTTACCTATACTACCTATATACTTTTACCTTTATTACCTATACACTTTTACCTTTATTATCTATACCTTTTACCTTTGTTACCTATACCGGTAGACTGCATACTTTATTACTTTTTGATTTATTAAGCATTCCGATAAATTGATAATACCTTTACCTTTATTATATGTACCGATATTGTAACATACTATATAATATGTCATTTTGATGTTAAACAAATAATACCTAAATTTATATGAAAATATCAATAATAAATATTGTCCAATTTATATTTATACAATTTGAAGCATAAAAAAACACTTAAAAATGTAAAAAAAGAAAATATTTACAAATTAATTAATAATCTAAATTATTTATTGCCATGCAATTAATTAACTCATAAGATTGTAATAAATGCTATAAAATAATAAAATAAATAATTTACAAACATTTGAATATTTACAGAATAAAGTTAAGATTTGATATTAAATTATTATTGTTGCTACTTTTTTAAATTAAATTACAACCAATTAATTGAAAGGATTAGAAAGAAAAAATATAAAAAAAAAGAAAAGGAAGGAAAGAGAGAGAGAGAGAAATAAAAAATGTAAACAATTTAATTCATCAAAAAACCATTACATTGACAAATATATGAACTTGTACGATTAGCAAATGCATACCTTGATAAGTCATAAATATTATTATCGCTAATTTCACCGCCTAAAAATCGATGTGTATCAGTGACATTAGCGCCATCGTATAAATCCAAAAAGCAATCCGATCGTATTATTGCTAATGTAATTTGATTATTCCACTAAAAAATTTCTGTTTTAAATGAAAACTTTTTTTTTTTTTTTAAATATATTTATATCTAAAAAATTGGGCACTAATCGTATAAATACAGAAAAAAAGAAAAAAACCATTTATTAAACTTTAGTTTAGAAAATTGTTACTACAATCGAAAACTTTTTTTAATATTAAAAAAATTTATGTGCATAAATTGTGAATTTTTTTTTTAATGGAATTTTATTAAAATATAAAATTAATGATTTAAAAAAAAAAAAAAAAAAAAAAAAACCAAAAACTTATAGCAAATAATGATAACCAATTGATTAAGTTCCATTTGTTGTGAATTCTCGTTAACCACACAAAAAGCATCCAAGCATTCATTGTTGGTAAACAAAAAGGCGCATATTGGCGGTGGAATATCTCGGGAATTTGGGCATACGCCAAATATTCGTCTTATAAATGCAATTAGATAGAGGGAGAAGAAAACTCTCCCAGCAATTTTTGCCCAACTTTTCATTTTCTTAAACAACAAAAAAAAGAAAGAAAGAAAAGAGCTATGATCATTTAAAAAAAGAATTTTTTTAATTAATCAATTCATAATTTCCAGTGCTAAAATTTAAGATTTTTTTAAATGAATATTTAAATCAATAAATTGAATAAAATAACTTGCTCTAAAAAAAAAAAAAAAAATCTTTTCTAACATAGATATATCATGATTGATTTGTTTGATAAAAATCAAAATTCGAAACAAACCTTGCTGGATAAATTAATTTCTACACTACGAAAGCATTCGATCAATTTATGCAATCATTCAATTGATCAGTTTAATTAATTGATTTACCTCTAAAAAAAATTTTTTTTTAAATGAAATATAAAAAGCCAGAAAAAAGTTGAATAGTTAAAAAAAACCCCAAAGTTTTTCAAAAAAAAAAAAAAAAAATGTTAGATTAAAATAAACCTTAGATACTGAGCTTTAAATAATTAATTAATTAATTTGATTAACTCAATAAATGATAAAATTAATTTAGCTTGTAATTAATTTAAATATTAAATGGCTTTTCCTCACAAATTTCGAAATTTATTACAATTTTGAATTATGCATTATGAAGTACATAAACAATTTAAAATTTTAACAAATAGATGGAAAATCAGTAAGGATGCGAAAAAAACAAAAACAAATGCAACTGAAACAATTGTTTTCAGTATACTTTCTAAAATTGATTAATTAGTTTTTTTTTTTTTTGTTTTGTTTCTTTTTTTAGAAAAATAGCAAAAGCAATTGTCTGAGATAAATCAAAATACATAACGAAGGACAGATAATACTAAAATTTGAATATAAATTAAAATTGTTTTCGATAAAATTTCAATGACTGATGCGAATTCTGCAATTTAAATTACAATTTAATGTAATTAATTCAAATTAGCTTATGATTTTTTTTTTTTGTAACTTTTTTATCAATTCCATCGCAATGAATGAAATAAAAGTTGAAACATTTTTAAAAATTATTGATATATTAATGGAAAAAAAAATAAAATTTTGCCAGTATTTTACATCGGTTTGAAAAAAAAAAAAAACATTCCTAAAGATTTTATGCGTAAATTTAAATTTGAAAAGTGAAATTTCCCAAGAATATTACGGAAACATAGAAAAGGTAAACAAATTTCCTAAATACTATAAACTTACTGTAATATTTGATACTTTTGCAAAAAAAAGGAGAGAAAGCGACAACTTTTCAAAAAAAATTTATCATATTTGACGTCGTTTAAAAAAAGAGTAAGGAACAAAGATAAATATAAATAAATAAATTTTAAAAAAGTTCATCGCTTCATTGAATTCGCTCATGCTCTTATCAATTTTTAAAAGGTATAAACTACTGGAAAGAAATCATTTTGAAAGATTAATTTTTGAAATAAATATTAATTTTTTCTCTAATCTCATCAAACATTCGTGAAATAAAGATGTGAGAAGGATTGATAGTAAAATTTAAATATACTAAAAATTGCTATTAAAAAAAAGCAAAAAAATAAAAAATAAAAAATAAATAGCTCAGAGTTCATAGCTAAGCTAAAAATGAACGATTCTAAAAACGATTTTAGTAAAATTCTAATAAAAGTTTTGAGAACAATTAGAAATAATCGAAACAAAACTTTAAAGAATAGAAAATAAATACAGAAATACTAAGTAATGGTGGATAATTGAAATTGAAATAATAGAAATCAAAACTTATGAATTGAGAAAAAAAAATCTCAGAATTGTGATAATTTAAACTGGGCTTTCTTTCTTTTAAGAAGTTTGAAGAATTTTTAAAGTGTATAAATATAAATATTAATTACTATTAGATAAGTAATAATAAATAATTATTAGATGAAAACAACAACTGCAAAAATTTTAAATAAATATAATTTTGAACGACGGAAGAAGAAAGAAAAGAGAGCAAAAATCAATTAACAATACTTTATGTATTACCAACATTATTTGAGTCCAAAACAAAGAAAAAAATTTTTTTAATATTTTATAAAGAAAGAAGAAATAATTTTTTTATTCAAAAAAAAAAATTTTTTTTAATAACTAATATCTATGATTTTGCATAATTTATTCAAAGAAATAAAAAGATTTTTGAAATAATACAAAATTATAAGCTGAAAGCAAAATATGTTTAAATCACTTTCCTATAGAAGAAATGGTAATTAAACTTTTTTGACATTTGTGAACGGTTGTTTTTAATTTCATAGCAGCTAATGTCACCATCATCGTCATCGACCAGTAGTATTCCAAAGCCATCATTTAAAACTGATGAAATTATTAATAATTCCTGGAAGGTTTTTACCTTATCACTATTTTCTTTACCTTTTTTTTTTGTTGTTTAAAATGGAAATTTAAATTAATTATTGACAAACATTTTTGTTTTCTCTTCTCTTGCACTAAAACAAAAAGAAAAATTTTAAATCAATTTTAATTTATTTTATTCTTCTTTGCTAAATGAGAATTTTATTTATTTTTTATTTGTTTTGAAATGATAATTAAAAATAAATTTTGAAATATTTGAGATAGTTAAAGACCTTGGAAGTGGTGGTTGTGGTATTGTTTACGAAGTTGAACGTATCTGTGGCACAAATATGGGAATGCATGCTGCAATGAAAGCAGAAACAATTGATAAAAATTATTCTGAAACGCTTGCTGCTGAGGTTTAATTCAAAAAAAAACAAAAAACAAAAAACAAAAAAAAATTTATTTGAAATTTTTATTTTTTAAAGAAAAAAATTTATTTGAAATTTTTAAACATTCTTGTTATCTATCTATTTATATGCTTAATTCTATGCATCAATTTATTAAATAAATGTAATAAAAATTAATGAAAGAGAAAAGAGCAAAAAACAAAATTATTTAATTAAATATTTAATTCTGAAAATTTTCATTATTTTAATATATATGCAAATGTATTTTCTTTTGCTATTTTTTATTTATTATCTCTTTCATTTTTTACTTTCTTTTTTGTTGTTTATTATTTCATTAGAAACTTCAAATTATTGCATACCAAAATAATTTAAATTAATTTTTTTTTCTAAAAAACATAGTTCAAAAACTTTTTTTCAATATAAAGGAGGGAAAACTATTTTAACTTCTACAATAAATTACATATAAATATGCAATTTAATTTTGTTAATCTTTCTTTTATTTATTATTTTATCATAAATCAAAAAAAAAAAAAAAAATTTCCATACTAAAATAAATGAAAAAAAAAGAATTCAAAAAACTTTTTTCAAAAGAAAAAAAAAGTAAAAAGATAAAATTGAATTAAATTAAATTTCATTTTCCTCTAAGGCATTGGTATTACGTCGTATGCAATGGTCATCACATTTCTGTCGAATATATTTAGCCGGACGTCCGTCACCTAATTGCAATATAATTGTTATGTCACTTGTTGGACGATCACTTTCATGGCTGCGACGTCAAAATCCATCGCAACGTTTTACGCTTTCTACGGCGATACGTCTTGGCATTCAATGCCTTGAAGTAATAAGAATTATAATTATTGCAAATATTATTATTTTTAATTTTAATTTATTTATTTTATTACTCTTTTTTTCATTTCCTTTCTTTTATTATTTATCAAAAAATATTGCAATTATTTATTTAATTTCACTTTTTTTTATTTTTTAAATTTTTTTTAAAGGCAATTAAAGATTTACATAGTATTGGCATCATTCATCGCGATGTCAAAGGATCAAATTTTGCAATTGGTCAAGGAAATTTATGTCGTACAGTACATATGATTGATTTTGGATTTGCACGATTTTATGTTTGTTTATTTGTTTTTCAAAAAGAAAACTTAAAAAATTTTCATTGAAATATTTATAAAATATTAATAATTTATATTTTCTCGCTTTTTCACCTTTCTTTCTTTCTTAAAAACTTCAAAATAATATATTATTTAACTGGAAAATTGATGAAGAAATAATTTGATGGATAAAAAAAGCAGAAAAAAATTGAATTGAATAAAATTTTAATTTAAAAAGAAAAATCAAATGCTTTTTTTAAAGAAATTTAAAATAAAGCATTGGAATTGTTATTAAATATTTTATTAAATTGCCAAAAATCTTTTTATTTTCTTTTTTTATTTTTCTTTGTAAAATAAAATAATTTATAATCCTCCTTCTTTCTTTTTTATTATTAGAATTATTTTTAATGAAAGTAATTTATGTCAAATATCATTTTGATCGATTGTTTAGCTAACGAGAGGCTTAGATGGAAATTTGCGCCATCGAAGTCCAAGACATAAAGCGCCATATTTGGGCACTGATCGCTACTGTTCCGTTTTTGTGCATATGCGAAAAGAGCAAGGTATATCAAATATATATATTATTAAAAAATACTTAGAATTTATTCCAAATAAAAAACTTTACAAATTAAAATTGATTTTTTAAATGTTAAAATTATTTCGCATATATTAAAAAATAAGGCAACTTTTTTTCAATTATGAATTTTATTTTTCAAAATTATTTTTAAAAAATTTTTCATAAAATGTAAAATAATTTGAATATTAAAAAAAAAAGATTTTCTATAATTTTCAAATGAATTAAAGAGTTTCTGTTTTGTTGTGGTCAAAAATACAATTTTAATGATGTTTAAAATATTTTTCAATTGTCATTTGTTTATTAAAATGTTACAAATTTTACAGAGTCATTATTTACTCACTTTTTTCATTCTTTATTCCAACAAAATTAAGTTATAAATATTCAATCTACGATGGATCATAAATTATTAACAACAAATTTCAGGTAGACGAGATGATTTATGGTCATTTCTGTATATGCTTGTTGAATTCATCGTTGGTCAATTGCCATGGCGATCTTCTCCTTATAAAAATCTTCTCTCAAAAAAGGTTATTTATTTTCTAATTTTCTTTTTTTGTAATTATTTTGTTAATTCTTCGGTTCCCATTGGTCTTTTACTTTTTTCTACCTCTACAATTACCTAATTTTTTGTCACAAAATAAAAAAAAAGGAGCAAATTAGTCACAAATGTGTATAAAATTGATAAAATATTGAAATGGTAATAATTTTAGAAAATTTTAATAATCTTAAATATAGATATATACCTTTTATAAATACTTTCAACACAGAATAATGCGAATAATTTTTTTAAAAAAAATGGAAATAAATATATTCATAAGATAAAAGAATGATTTTTGCTACATTTATTTATGAAAATTTGAGAATTCATTAGTGGAAATAAACAATTTAAAATTAAAAATAAATAAAAAAAAACATTAATAAAAAATTATGATAATATTACTACAATTTTTTCCTTGTTTACTTCTCTCTCTTTAAGTTACAAAGTGAGGAATATTTGCTGAGAAACTGTCCGCTTGAATTTTACGCTATTTTTGATCACATTCGATATTTGAATTATTCCGCTCGACCAAATTACGCATTAATTACACGTAAATTAAGTGAAATTTGTCAGCGAAAGCGTTATGCGTTGGATGATCCATACGATTGGGAAGAAGGTGGAAGGTACATTACCTTTCGTTTCCTTTTATTTTTCATTTCATATTTAATTTTATATAAATTATTTATAATATAAATATTATTTATGTAAATTTTATACGTACATTTATTCGTATAACTAATAATCAAGAAATTGAAAATTAAAAAAAATTGCAAAACTTTTATCAAATTATTTTTAAAAATTATCAATAATAGTGATTGTAAGTTAGATAATAAAGATCATACGGATATTTTCATTTCTCGTCGAGAATACCATTTTAAAATTTTGTCTCTTTTCAAAATTACACTTCAATATGTATTTATCATTTTATCATATATTATATTAACAATGTTGATGTAAAGTTTTACAAAAAAAACATTAAAGCTTTTTTATCATTTATTAATTTTATTAGATTAATTATTGGATGAATTTCAAAATGATTTTCAAAATGAAAGAAAAAGACATTAATTTATAGATATTATGAAGAGATTTGTTTACAAAAAGTTGACAAAACTAAAATGAAAACAAAAACAAAATGTATTATCGATGAAAATAATGATAAATTAGCAAAATTAAAAGTGGATGAAATCGAACAAAATGGCAAACAACAAACGGATGAAATGCAATCAAATCATAAATTGCAGTACGATTTGATATATTTTCCAATTTTTGTTATCATTTATTTGCTTTATTGTTCATTAATATTTAAGATATTATTTTTGTAAGAAATACTATTTATTATAAAGAATATAATTTGTTGGATAAATTAAAATTAATTTAATTATGCTACTACTACGATATTTATTTTACGTATTTTTGTTTTTTTGTATGAAATTAAATAAAATTAATAAATTGAAAAAATTTTCAGCGATTTGGCTCATATTTCATCAATAATACAAAAGGATGAAAGTATCAGATTGTCAAACTTAAATGAATCAGAAATACTTACCCACAACAATGGCTTCCAAAATTGTTCAACAGAAACTCACCCAAACTTTATGCATTAATTATTAGAAGAAAAAAACAAAACAAAAATATCGCAAATTGATCACTGCTCTCATCATCATATTATTATTGATTCATTAAAATGATAGATAGGTCAAAGGTTACACGATAAACATATATCATTGAAAACATATTGTGCATTTCTCTAGATTTTAGAAAGAAAAATTATGGATATGAAATGAAAGTAAACAAATCATATATTCAAAAAAATAATAACAATTAAAATTAATTAACTAACTAATAATTACAAACGAGAATAGCAAAAATAATGAAATAACAACCATTTGTTTATAATTATAAACAAAAAAAAAAAAATGTTTGTGGCTTTTTCTGTTTTTGTTTTGTAAACAGAATGACAGTATATTTAAAGATAAAAGGAATGTAGCAATCTTTTTTTTTTTTTTAAATTAATAAACAAAATAAAAATGAAAAAGAAATAATTAAAATTGCAATTATGTAACCACAAATATTTCAAATAAAATTTAAAATAATTACAACTAACAAACAATAACAACAACGAATTTGTCTGATAAATTAGCAATAATTAAGAATTATTTGCTTGCTTAATCACTAAAAAGCATATAAAATGAATAATCTTTGCTAAGTAATAATGAAATCAATTTGCTAATATTTTCAAAATTTTGGTTAAAAAAAGGGAATTTGCAATAATTTAAATAATAAATATTGTTGTAGGAGAGAGAGAGAGAGAGAGAGAGAGAGAGAGAGAAGTAAGATGATAAAGAGAATTAATGAAGAAATGTGATAGTGTGATAATTTCATTCGATCAGTGATAACGTCAGAAGCGATCAACGAAGACAACTATTGAAGGAAATATAAACTCGTTATAAAACTATGTTACTAAACCACAAATTTCAACAATAAGTACGAAACTGTTACAACGTTGTTTATTGCTACTTTTTCTTTTAAAAACATTTCTTTACTTTACTGCTATGATAATAACAATAATTTTAAGTACTCAAATAATACTTCTATTTCTGTTATCTATTATCTTCATAATGAAAGTAATAATAATCAGAATAATAAATAATAATAGTACTATTTTAAATACAAATACAACTAGCACTCGTTACTCTTACTATCACACTATTGCTGTGACAATAGTAAATTATAAGTATTGTAATAATATGATAAATTACAAATGCTATGATTATATTTATATATTTTTGATAATTTATTCTTAAGAATGCAATGTACTACATAGCTTTTTCAGAAGACATTATAATAGCATCAAAAAATATATCACAATATTATAATTATATCAAGAATACATAGCTATTCATTTTTTGATCTTATTGTTGATATTATGATATATTTTTTGAAGTGTAAATTTATTTATGAAGTGTAAATTTTAATATCAGCAATATAAAAATAAAATATTGAAATTCATATCACATTTCATTAAAATTTGTTAGCATAGAAATTATGCTTTAAAAAAGAAAATTATACATGCTATTACATTTTATCATTTTCTTTAAACTTTCAATTGTTGAGTGTTTCCAATAAAATATTCTGTCTGTTTATTATAGCTATGCAATTAAGCAAAATAAAGAAAGCTTTATTGTCGTGAAATTTGTCAAATTATATGGGAAATATCAATGAAATCAAATAAAAACTGCAAAACGATATTAAATAAAATTCTTTTCTGCACTTTCTTTTTCTTTAATTTACATATTCTAATAGTAATTTCAAAAAAAAAACCATATATATTATTCTAATATCAAAAATTATATCATAATATCAACAATAAGATCAAAAAATGAATAGCTATGTATTCTTGATATAATTATAATATTGTGATATATTTTTTGATGCTATTATAATGTCTTCTGAAAAAGCTATGTAGTACATTGCATTCTTAAGAATAAATTATCAAAAATATATAAATATAATCATAGCATTTGTAATTTATCATATTATTACAATACTTATAATTTACTATTGTCACAGCAATAGTGTGATAGTAAGAGTAACGAGTGCTAGTTGTATTTGTATTTAAAATAGTACTATTATTATTTATTATTCTGATTATTATTACTTTCATTATGAAGATAATAGATAACAGAAATAGAAGTATTATTTGAGTACTTAAAATTATTGTTATTATCATAGCAGTAAAGTAAAGAAATGTTTTTAAAAGAAAAAGTAGCAATAAACAACGTTGTAACAGTTTCGTACTTATTGTTGAAATTTGTGGTTTAGTAACATAGTTTTATAACGAGTTTATATTTCCTTCAATAGTTGTCTTCGTTGATCGCTTCTGACGTTATCACTGATCGAATGAAATTATCACACTATCACATTTCTTCATTAATTCTCTTTATCATCTTACTTCCTCTCTCTCTCTCTCTCTCTCTCTCTCTCTCTCCTACAACAATATTTATTATTTAAATTATTGCAAATTCCCTTTTTTTAACCAAAATTTTGAAAATATTAGCAAATTGATTTCATTATTACTTAGCAAAGATTATTCATTTTATATGCTTTTTAGTGATTAAACAAGCAAATAATTCTTAATTATTGCTAATTTATCAATTCTCATTGTATAATTATTACTCAGTGCAATTGTCATTTGTTGACAATAATTTATTAGAATTCATATTTCACTTAAATAAGTTACAATCACTGATTTAAATTATTTTAAAATTCATAGATTGGTATCATCCTTTCATGATGTCATCCTTGCTACTTTCAGTCATTTGTCATACCACAAATATTATTTCTGACTGTTGAAGAAGTTCAATCATCCTCAATCGTTTTTCATATCAATTGGACATTTTAATAGGTCATCATCATCACATACATATCAAATAATTCGATTTACGATTCATTTTAAAAACTTTGTAATCTTTATTGTTTAATCGAACACATTCAAACATACATCAAATGTTAGTCATTTCTCATCGTTCTATTTCAATTTTATATCAAATATTCTCCATGAAAATTTGATTGCTAAAAAAAATGTTTCTTATTTATTTATTAAATTATGTATTATTTAAGATAAGAATTACCAGAATGCTACTATTCTAAAATAGTAGCAATTAACATAATATCGTAAAAATACAATTTTTTAAACTGTTTTTACCTTTACTTTATTATTTTCTACCTTTATTTCTACTCTTATTTTTATGTTTTCAGATTCAAATTATTATTTTTCGTTTGCTTTTGAATGGTTTTAAAGCAGCAATATTACTTTGGTTTTAATTTATATCAAATTACTTTACGTATTATCTTCGTTCCACTAATAAAACGGTTGGATATTTATTATTTGTTGCAGATTGCTGTTATTGTTTATTGTTGTTGCAAATGTTTGATATTTATTGTTACTGTTTGTTGTTGTGACCCAATTCTTAATGATTTGTTCGAATAAGTTTTGATGATTACAATTAATGATTATTATATCTTATTATCTCTTAATCTTATTAGTAAATTTATTAGACAAAATATTAGTATTAATGTTGGATTGAATAGAAATTATTTTTTTAAGCTATAATAATTTTGTTTATTTATTATATTTTCAAATTCACTCCATTTTTTTTTTTTTTTTTTGTTTTAAATATGCAATTTTAGTTATTTTAATGGAATTATAAGGAATGCACCAGAATCGTTATCGATATTTTTCACCGATATAAATTGTAAATTACACTTTGGCACAACCAATGAAGAAATAATTAGGTTTGCTCTGAAAAGAAAAAAAACTTTTTTTTGCGTTTCTTTGTTTTATTTTTTAAAATTTTAAAAATAAGTAATCAATTTATGATTTTTTTGCTTCTTTTTTAGATGTAAAATACAGTTTACTGTATAGAAAGAATTTAAATTTAATTTAACACTAATTTAAACTAATTTAAAAATACAACTAAAAATGAATATTTATTGATTTTCTAAAAAAGTGGTAAAAAACAAATATACTAGTATAATCTCTTTTTAATGATTTAAAATTATGTTTTAAAATTTTGTTACTTAATCAAATATATATTCAATTTATGCAATTTCTATCTTTTATCATTTATTAAAAACTATAAAATATAAAATATAAATAGAGGCAATTAATGCTGTGAAAAAGAAAAATGAAATTATTGATAAACAATGATACTATTTAAAGTAAAACAATAATTTTTCCTTTTTTTTTTTAGATCAAATAAATCAAATGGAGTATTGCCAGTTATATTATTCCTTCATAAACCAATTAATTTTTGTTTTCGAATTCTTTTGGATCCAAAAATTGGCCTCGGTGAAGCATACATGTTTGAGGATTGGGATACACAGCCAAGAATACAGGATTTCTTAGCATTGCTTATTCGTGCTAAACGTTAGCTTACTTACAAACACATATTTTAATTCAAAAATTTTTTATTAAATTTATCAATATTTAACTTTTTGTTTTTTGCCGCTGTTATTATTAAATTAATTATAGCTCTGAAAAAAAAAGAAAATCCTTTTAAAAATTTTATTTAAAAATGAAAACAAAAAAATAAAACAAACTTAATTCCTTTTTTTCTTCTTTTTTATTATTTTAAAATAATTAATATTAAATTAAGCAATCTACAAAATATTGTTCGTTAGTTTGTTTCTCAAATTTTTATATGATTCAAGCTGATCAGTATAAGAATTAAAAAACTTTAATAAACTTAATGTACTGTTCGTTTTTTTTTTTTCTTTTAGGTTATAATAATGGAACAAAAAAACTAAAAGAAACAAACGGATGGCTTAAAAAATTGTTTACTTTCTTAATTTATTTAATTATTCAATTAATTCGATCACTGATATCATTTTTCAATGCAATGCAACATTATTACCATTCAAATTCATTAAATGGTAGTGCACGAAATATTCATGAGCATTATGATCTTGGCAATGATATGTTCAGCTTATTTCTTGATTCATCCATGACTTATTCATGTGCAATTTTTCAAGGTTACTAATTTGCATATTTTTTTCTTAAATTTAAAATGTTATCGTATATTTATAAAAAAAAATAAGTAAATAAGAGAAAACACTTAGATAAATTTTACATAAATTATAAATTTATTTATTGATTTATAATTTAAAACAAAAAAAAAATTTTTTTTAAGTTTTTTTAAAGCTTTTATTGGATGCTTATAAAAGTCAGAATAAAAGGAATTTACATTTTTTTTGTTTTTTTTTTTTTTTTTTTTTTTTTTGACAGAATTATTAAATATTAATATAATGAATAGATAAATTGTTTTTTTGTTTATTTATTTACTTTTTTTTTTTTTTTTATTTTGAAAATATTTAATTTTTTTGATATTTATAAATATATTTTATTTTCAGAAATTCCATCTTATACAATCACACATTCTGACAAGAAATTACTTGAAGAAGCACAAATGAGAAAATATGATCAAATATTTGACGAAATCAATCTTACCTGTAATGACAAAGTATTAGAAATTGGTTGTGGTTGGGGAGCTTGTGCTATACGTGCTGTCAAATGTCACAAATGCAAGTGGACAGGCTTGACAATTTCGATAGAACAATTTAAAATTGCTCAGCAAAGGATAATTGATAATGAATTAGTGGATAAAATTAATATCAAATTATTGGATTATCGGTTAATTATTTTTTTAGCTTAAAAAAATTAATTAAATTAGCAGTCTATACTCTTGTGATATGTTATATTTACGATAAATTTTGTACGTATTAAATGCAAATAAAAAAAATAGCCTAATTAATTAATTAAATTATTTGACAAAAATTAATTCAGATATTTGACGAGTTAAATAACAAATAAATGAAATTAATACTTTTCAAATCAAATTTTTATGTTATTTGATTGACTTACGAGGGAACAAAAAAAGTTAAATGTTTTAGATTATAACAAAAAAAAAAAAAATTTTTCATCCGTCCTAATTTTTATTATTATTATTTTTTTTTTCTTGATTGATTAATTATTAATTAAAATGCGAACATTAATAATTGATTAAATAGATGAATAGGCAGACAATTAATTCATTAATTGAAACCACCAATTTTTCCCTAATTAGCACATTTAAAATTTTAACAATTTTTATCAAAAATTCGATTATTCATCTTTTCTTTTCTTTTTTTGCTTTTTAGATTAGAAAATGATATTTACGATAAAATTATTGCAATTGAAATGATTGAAGCAGTTGGACATCAATATTTACCGCAATTTTTTAAAACGTTACGTGATCGATTACGTCCTGGTGGTAAGGCATACTTGCAGGTATATATGCATGTGTTTAACTTAAAAAATAAAAATAAAAAGTAAAAAAAATTAATTTAATTATAGTTTTTTTTAATTAGCAAAAAGTATCATTGTTTTTGTTCAAGGCAATAACATGTCCTGAATTGAACTACGAGCGCTATTGTCGATCAAGTGATTTCATCAAGAAATATATATTTCCCGGTGGACATTTGCCATCTGAGCGAGCAATTCGAGATGCATTACCGCCAGAATTATCAATTACAAAAACAATTCATATTGGACAACATTATGCGCCAACTTTAGATTTATGGTATTGGTAAGTTACAATTTCATTGTCTAATTACTTATCAAGAATAAAATTAAATTTTTTTTTTTGAGTTTTAAAAAAATGAATTTAAAAATTTTTCATATTCAAAAATTATGGAAACCAGATTAAAATAAAATATGGTTGGATGGATAGTATTGAAATTAATTAGTATATTTTATAGTTTGAAAAATTGAAGAGTAAAGAAATGAAAACAATCAATGTTTTTCTTGTAAAGTAAATTTTAATATTTTAATTAATCATTTCAATTAGTGAAATGTTTGTAAGTATTTCAGTTAACAACAATATAATTATTGAATTGTTTGAAATTTCAGAACCATAATTACTCCTAAAATTCAGTGAAATAAAATTTTAGTGCATGGATGGAAAATTGGGAAAAAATTCGGAAACTTGGATATTCGAGGAAATTTCATCGTAAATGGCAATTTTATTTTGCTCTGTGCTCCACGTTATTTCGATATTCACACATTGATACAATACAAATACTTGTCGAAAAATCATTGTAATTTATTTACTTTAGTTAATTAATTTCATTTTAATTAATTGAAATTCAAATTTCTTATAAAATTGAATGATTTTATGTAATTCAAAGCGATTAAAAATCCAATAATAATTTCTTTTTCATGTCATTTAATCATTTATTATATGTGTAATTCAGTTTTTCAATTCAATTTTTCAACATTAACAAAATTAAAAAGTTTTTACTAATATTTTTACTAATCTATTTTCAACTAATGTTTCGGATAAAATTTAACGTGGAAGTTTTGAATTAAATTAAATTTCATTTTTTAAGTTCTTATAAACTTAAAGAAAAATAAAAATTTGAATGTTAGTATGCATATTTCTATTGCATTCAACTACAAATCGATTTTTTAAAAACATTTTACGTCGTATAATAAATCAAACATTCATTGATAAAATATTTATTGATAAAAAGTATTTCTTGATAAAAAATTATCTATGATTAGACAGCAAAGTTTACATTGAATATTTATTTTTTATGTCAAAAATTTTTAGTACAATGTATATATTTCAAAAATTAACAATGAAAACGAAAAATTATCATAAAATCTTGGTAATTGTTCAAATCTATTAGAAAGCTAAATTATAGTAACGTTAACTTGTAAAAACTGCTTTAAATTTTTGAAATTATTGCATTATTATTTTTGTTTAGAAATTTGTAAATTATTATCAATTATTAGTATAAATCCTATATTATCTCTTATTTTCTTCCGATAAACTTTTTTTTTTGCGTTTTTACATTTTTATAATTTTATCTAATTTTTAAATTTTTTATATTATCTTTTCTTTACGATCTGTCAATTTTTTTTTACAAAAAATAAGCAAAAATTATGCGATACTAATAGCCTTAAAAATAAAAAAAAATTATTAATTGATTTAAACATTTGGATAATTTCAATTTTCAATATTTGATAAAATTTTACTTTTTCATTCTCTTTGAAATTCAATAATGTATCAAAAAGATGAAAATAAAAAATAATATTCATTTTAATTTTAGCACCCGTAGCAGTGAAATAAATATATTTAATGATAAGTTAATTTAATACTTGTTATTATTTTTAATTTTAGATTGAATTTTTGAAATAAAATGAAAAATTTACAGTTAACTGAAAATCTATTTTTATTATTAAATTAGTAATGCTTGATCATTTGTAGTTAGAATAAATGAAATTTTAAAGAAATGAAAAAAGAAAATCTAATATCGAATCTTATTTCCATAATTCAATTACTATGTTAAACTGATAAAATTATAATTTTTTCTCTTTATTGTTTGCAAAAAAATGAATTTTAAAAGATGAAAAAATAAGTAATAATAAGTAAAAAATACATTTATTGATTAATTCATTTAATTAACTTTTATCTTCCTTTACAAACGTAGTAATTTATTATTTCGAACTATAATAAAATTAAAAATTAAAATCTTTTAATAAAACTAAGAGGAAAAAACCCATTAATTAATATCGGTAATGCAATAAGTGAAATGTAAGAGATCATCCATGCTTTTCCTTCTTTTTATTAGCATATTTATGCAAAATAAACACAATTACACGGTACTCTTTGTAATCATTGCTGATACGCCCAATGTCTTAGCTAATTCTTCCTGAAATGTTTTCTTTTTTTTTTTTAAATTTGTTTTTAAATTCAAAAGAAAATAAAAAAAAAGAAAATAGTGATGAGATAATTTTTGATACCGCATAATTAATTTGATTTGGGTGGTACGGTATGCCACCGTACTTCTCCACCAATGCTATATGCTCGTTTTCTGGATCACCAGCTACTAATACTTGTTTATTATCAACCTGTAAACAAAAAAAAAATGTTTTTTCTTTTATACTAGTAAATATAAAATTAAAATGAAAATTTTTTCTTGCTAATTAGAAATATTAGTATTATTATTATTAGAGAAATGAAAATTACTTTATTTAAAGTAAATTTTTTATTGTTAAAAAAGAAAACTAGTAAGAAAAATAATAATTGAAAGGATTACACAAAAGGTTTTTTTTTTTAAAAAAACAAAAAAAAAAAAAAAAATAGAAAATAAAAATTTAAATAAAATAAAGAGTAGAATAATTTTCATATTTTATAGAATAATTTCGAAAATTTATTATTCGCTTCTTTGTTTTTTTGTCCTTTTTTCGACGGATAAAATTGATTATAAGTTTTTTTTCCAAAAAATCAAATTATTAATGAGAGGGTAGCGAAAAAATAAATAAATAAATTTTGAGTAATATTATTTAAAAATAAACCGATTTTAATCCTCGCATTGCATCAATAAATTCTTGTAAACGATTTTCAAAATTTGGTGCAAATTCATTTGGATTAATTGCAATAAAACATTGTCCCTAAAAAAAAAAGTAAAATATTGTTAATTAGTTGTTAAAAATTATTTTGCAATTTCTTAAAATTAAATTTCACACAACAAATTTTATTATTAAAAAGTAATGAAAAGAAAGAACGAAGACTTTTAAAATAATTTTATTCATTTGAAAAGTTTTTTTCCTTACTAAATTAGCAATAACAGCTGTTGACATCCATTGTCTCACATGTGGTCCCCATTGCGCACCGCCAAGTACGCCACAAATAATTTCCACTAATGCACCAAGACAATATCCTTTATAGCCACCTGCAATTTAATTCCTTCTTTTTTTTTTTTTTTAAAAAAAAAGAAAAAGCTCAAAGCATATAAAAAATTCATTAATTATTTTAATTAATAATCTAAAAATAAAAGAAAGAATTCTTCTGCATTATTCTGTTGCAAATAATTGATCAATGCTTATTAATTTTAATTTATAGTAGTAATCATAATTATATAATAAGTTATTAATTAAAAAACAGAAAAAGGAAAAGGATCAATTCTTTGCATTATACCGAATAAATTAAAAAATTAAAAATATAAATTAATTTATAAAAAAATCATTGCAATAAATAAATGATTGATTAAAAAATTCCACCCAGTCATACATAAATAATTTACCGGTTAATTCACTTCCGCCAAGAGGTAAAAGACCGCCACCATCCAGTATTTTTGCCGGATCATTGCTAACATAGCCGTTTTTTCCCACACCCCATGTATCCGGAACAGTTTGGTCTTTACGTGCTGCTATTTCAACCTAAAAAACTTACTAAACAAAAAAAAAAATTACGAATTATTTGGAAATTTTTTTTTTTTAATTATATTTAATAACATATGTTGCTGTGAAAAATTTTTCATTTTTTTTCCAAAAGTTTTTTTACGCTTTATCAAAGATATAACAGTATAATAAATATGATAGTGGTGATAATTAGTGATATGATAACTGATAATAATAACGAACCTTTCCAATAGCAGCAGTTGTAGTGGCCATATCCAATATGAATGTGTCATTTTTAGCCTTAGCAGCAAGTGTCAAAGGATTTGTCCCAAGTGCTGCGACACTTGACCTAGTTGGATACATAATTGGCGATGTATTTGTAAATGCCATCCCCTTCAAATATATTTGAAATAAAACGAAAAAAATAAATATTTAAATTTTAATTTTTAATAGAATAATTTAAATTTGTATCAATTATTTTGTCATTTTTTTCTTCTAAAAAAATTATATATTTTTTTAAAAGAAAAAATAGAATGAATTGAGTAAAATAAAATTAATTTTTGTGTTATATAAATTTATTTTCTTGTTTTTAACTTTTTTTTTTTTGTTATATAATAATTTAAAGTTACACTTTAGGAGAAAAAAATAGGAAAAAAAAAGTAATAACTAAAAGTCCTTCATTCATTGCACGAATACTATACCAACCAGCAATTCCAAAATGATTTGATCCTATAATATTTAATCATAAATGATAAAAATATTCAAATCAGTTGAACTTATTATAGTTTAATTCATAATTAGATGAGCCTAGTAAAATATTCGAAAAGTCAAAAATGATTTTTTTTTTAAATTTCTTAATTTGATATTATAATGTTCATTATAATATCATCTCTTCTAAATTTAAATAATTTTAGTTCTCATTTTAAGAAAATTTTACTCCTCATTTGTCACTTATGTAGCAAATGATAATGCATTATTTAAATTTAGAAGAAATGAAACTTTTTGAATAATAAATCAAAAAAAGTGCGAACTTATTTCAAAATCAGTAATTGCAAATAAAATTCGAGTATTTCAGTTTGAATTGAAATTTTGCTATCAGTTTTAAATTACATTCAATATTAAAAAAATAAGGAAAAATTGAACCAGTCGGATGTAATTTAAGAGAAAATCACTGTAGAATATGCTACAAATATAAAAGTAATACTTACTTTTATAAAAAACTCTTATCATAATAGCCAAATAATTTCATATTTCATTAAATATTGAGCTAAATTAAATCTTCAATTACTGCACTAATTTACCTTTAGCCACAACCCAGCCAACACCTGCTTCCTTGGCTTTTCTAATTGCTATATCCATGCAAAAATTGCCAACTACTGGGCCAAGTAAATTATTTCCATCA